ACAGCACAAGATCCTGTTACAATCAAACAAACAAACAAAAAACCAAAGATGCCTGTCTTCTGCCCCATCAAATAAACCCAAATCTCCGCAGGGTGACACAGGGTATTAACATTTTTAAATATCTCTTTTGCTGAAGTAAATGTAATGGTTGAAAACCACTGAGTTATGTAAATACACTTCCTGTGACTTATTTGTAGCCCTTTCGTATCTAGCAATTTCTACAGACCCTCTCTGTGGGCTTCAGAAGCCAGAATGGGCAGGGCCAGGTGTGAGGTGTCCTAGCACACTGAGGGTAGAGCACAGCTCTCAGCTCAAGGGGACCCATTTCTGAGGCTAAGGCACCCACCAGGGGCTCAGCCTGTCTTCAGAGGGAAAATCACACCTCAGAACCCCAGAGAACCAAAAGAAAGCTCGAATTTGGCAGATACCTGCTGGTGGACCCGGGAGTGGCAACCCAGGGAAAACTGCCATTGCACTGTCAGCTCCCTCCAGCCCTCTCTCAGGTCCCAGCAGGAGGTGGTTTCTGAGTAAGCTCAGAGGTCTCAACAAACGGCAGGTTGAACCTCAGAGGAGTTATTAACAGGTGTACAGTTACCTCAAGACTCCACCTGACCAGGGCCAAAAATGAGTCCTGGGAGGGCAGCCAGGAAGAAAGCAGAGCAGAGAGGAAACACAGGGAGAGGGGGCCCTGGGACCACGTCAGATATGGAGGGAACCAGGGGAACGAGGGCAGCCCTGATGATTGTGCTCCCCACAGGCCCTGCATGCCTGTGTCCCCTGAGAATTCAGGGTGAGGAGCCCACTCTTGCCCCTCACCTGTTCCTGGGCTCTGGCAGGCTGGCCTGCTTCCTGCCCCAGCCTCACCTACTCTCCCCACTCCTCACCACTGCTGTGGGCAAGCTGATCTCTCTGGTTTGCTGGCCTCTCACTCTCTGCCCAATGGCACTGAGTTAACTTCTTTGCATGCTTTATTTTCTGTGATTAAAAAGGGAAGCAATTCTCACTAATACCATTTCTCAGAGGAGAAAACAGGCACAGGGATGTTCTATGACTTCCTCACGATCACCAAGCTACAAGTGGGAGCTGGGCTTTGAATGGAGGTCTACCCATGCTCCTAAAGTTGAGCCATCCTCCAAAGAAAGGACAGCATTGTAAAAGCTCAGTGAATGGGACGGGAGACTTCACTAAGGTCTGACCAGGCTGGTACCCTGATATCCAACTTCCAGGCTCCAGAACTGGAATAAACATAATTCTGTTTTTGATGAGCTCCCCAGGCTATGGCTCTTTGCTGTAACATCCTGAACTAGCTCAGAAGTGCGATTCCATCACCTGTGTCATACTCCATCATTCAGAAGGGAGTCACTAACCCCTCAGTGCTGTCTTTGTGGATGCTGCCCACCCTAGGCTGAGATGAGGCACAGGGTCTGGGTCTAAATAAAATGGGAAGGCACTGGAAGGTGCAATGTCAGAGGAGGACGACGTCTGAATTTCATTTAATCTCAGTCTCTACTGGTGCATCATGAAAGACGAGGCCCAGAGCAAAAGTGTCTTCTCCTGAGACCACACTGTGGACCCCAGGCCCACTGGAGTTATATTCCATGCTACTTCTCACTCCTTCTTGGATTTCTTCCATCTGTAAGTGTGTGCAATATCTACAGGGAACATCACACCATGAGTTTTATAAGATCTATTTCAAACACACCTCAGGAGTTCCCTAGGAAGGAGATGCTAGCATAACCCTCATTGTGCAGGCTGGGAAGGCCCCAAAACACCAAAGGAGTTCTCTAGGGTCTCACAACTGCTAAGATAAAGGTTGTTTGACCCAGAACTGTCTCCTCAAAACTGGGACCCTGTTTACATCGAGGTCTTCCCAAGGTGCTGAAGGGGCACACTTTGGCATAATGGTGAAAGGTAAGGAGTTGACGGGGGAGGGTGAGCAGCCAGAAGCTCAGTGGGGCCTTTGAGTAGGTCTTATGGAAAGGAGGTGCTTACAGGATGGAACCTACAAGATGTGACCTCACTTCCTTACTGACAGACCCCAACAGAACTTAGAATTCTGGTAACTAGGCACCCATATTATACACACAGCCCCATTTCCAGCTCAGTTGGTAGTTGACACCCAACAGAACAACATGTTCTCTTGCTGTGTCCCGACGTGCTGTCGACCTCCTCGTCGCAGAAGAGGCCAAAACGAGAGTCTTTCTCGAGAATATAGACATTGGTTCAACCCTCACCCTCGACGCCTCTGGCCATTTGCCAGAAGGCACCCACAGGTAACACAGGGCCCAGGGCAGGCCCGTCGAGGCCAGGCCTCAGCTGTGTCCATCAGGGCAGCGCTGAGCCCCTCCCCATGTGTTTGGGGGAAACAGGAGAAGAGGGGCCCTCCCTGGACAGGAGCAGGTAGGTTGTTGGGGGTTTGGAGTCTGATAGGTATGTCAGGTTCACAGCCCAGGCCATGCCTTCAGGATGGGAAGGTGAGTTTCGAGGACATAGTTTGTCTGCTCAGATCTGAATCCCAAGACCACAAGCTTCATCTGCCAGAGACGTCAACATCCTCTGGCTGGAGGTCTATATAAATGCTCCTATGTGCCAAATCCTGTTGTGGAAGGGGGCGCCAGGGAGGAGTTCTAATGGGGTATCCCACTATGGGGTCAGCCAGACAGGCCACTGACACCTCTTGGCCCGGCTCTCGGGCACTCTCTTTGCAGAGCTCCACACAGCAGATCAAGCAGGAGCTGTTGGATGGATTCCATTTCTCCATCTTCTTCAAAGAAGGGCAGGGGCCCCCTGCTACCAACCACGGCCAGTGCTGGTCTGGGGTGAGATTGGGCACAGGAGGGTCTCCAGACACAGGGACTCAAAAAAACCGGGGTGGGCCCAGGACTCAAACACGAATATGGGGACTCCCTAGGCTCTATCCTAGGGCTTTCACACTTGAGTGAGCCACAGTCCTCTCCCAAAGGAATCTGGCTGCCATTAGTCCCCAGTGGCAACTTGGTTACAGGCAAAGTCTCTTTCACCTATCAGAGGAAGATCAGAGAAAATCCTTCTGTTTTCGCTTTATACTATGCCAGGAGTATCCCAGCATGTTGCTATAAGAATTGGGTACAATGGTAACACTGTAGAAACATACTCATACTGTTGTCATTTTAACTCCCGACCCTAAGTGTATCTCTGGCAACAGGCAGCTCCTCTGCCCTGCCAGACCTCCTCCAGGATTTAAAATCCAACACTTCTACACAAACGAGTTGGGGGGGTGGTGATTACAACAAAAGAAGGTGAAGCTACTCTATGCATCTGTCTTTAAAGTGTCATCTCAGAGAACGCATCCCTGCAGACCCACCGGGCAGGAGCTGCACCCTCATATCTCACTGTAATATTCCTTAAGGGAGGCCATGTTCCACAGTGGGTCAGCCTCTCAGTGCTGGTGGAGCCTGTCATGATAAAATTCCCCTTCTAGGAAGCCTTTCTACAGGCAGCATGATCCTATGTGTGTCCTAATAGGCTGGAGCAGTTTCCCAGGGCTGCCATAACATGCCACGCTGACTGAAGGGCTTAACCACAGAAATCTGGTTCCTCACAGTTCTGGAGACTGGAAGCCCAATGTCAAGCTGTCAGCCTGGGGTGGTTTCTCTGGGCCTCTCTCCTTGCCGTGGAGATGGCTGACTTCTATCTCGGTCAGCACAGGGTCTTCTCTTGAACTTCTCTGTGCGCTCACCACCTCTCCTTGTAAGAACCCCAGGCATATTAACTTAGGGGCCACCCTAATGAACTCACTTCACCTGAATTACCTCTTGGAGAACTCTGTGTCCAAACACAATCACATTCTGAGTCTCTGGGGTTGAGAATAGAAACAGTTACATTTGGGGAAGGGGACACAATTCAACCCATAAAATACACAAATCCCCTGCGGAAGACACACACCCGGGAAAGGGAAATCTGGGTGAAAGGATGTGCAGATAGCAAGTTTCAACAGCTCTAGCCAGTTGACTTTCCAAAAGGGCTCCAGCTGCTCACATGGTCACCAGCAGCCTCTGAACATAGCTGCTTCATTGAACACAATCTCCCCTGAATACTAACATGTTCTTAACTTTTTGCCAATCTGCTGTCTGTGTGGCAGAGAAAATTACCTTGTTTCATTTCCAGGTTCAAACCTACATTTCCGTAACCTTTCCCAGTTTCAATACCTGCCTGCGTTTTCTCTTCCATGAGTCACCTGGCAGATCCTGGGACTTGGGTTGCGCTTCCTCCCACCCTGGAGTCTTCCGGCATTTTCCCCTTGGGCAGGGCTGGGATGGCCGTAGCTGTTTCTCCAGACTCATGTTCATGTTAAAGAACAAAAAATCACATCCCTTTAAGTCAAAGGCTTCTTCTAGAGCATCTTGTC